AGGATTTGAAATGATACAAATTCCTCTTCATTTTGTTGTACTTGGAACAAACTCTATATGATTCAGCAGGTGCCACAATACCTTATGCATCAGTGGCACATTCGCTCTAGACGAGTCAAGATGTATCGATCAGGACGGACAAAAGAGAGATGCTTTTTATCAGTCAAAAGCACATACAGCCCCCTGGGGGCGGGCACGGTTCTCCCACGGTCCACTTACCGAGGAATAGAAAGAAAGGACACAAGGCTAGAGCAAGTTAGGTTGGGGTATACAGTTGTAAGAAAGTTGGGGGGTGACAGAGAACGTGTGAGATGAACTCCATTATGAGTAATAAGACTTGGAAACTAGTTGACTTACCCCCTTGTTCAAAACCATAAAGTGTAAGTGGATTTTTAAAACGAAATTGAGGATAGATGGTACAATGGAGAAATTTAAACAAGCACAAAAGGAAGGTCTTGACTATTTTGATACTTATGCACCAGTAGCCCAAATAAGAGTATTAATTACCTTACCCTCAACTTATAAATTTGAAATACATCAAATGGATGTAAACACTACATTTTTGAATGGTGAGTTGAAGGAAGAAATATACATGGAACAACCAGAGAGCTTCATAATGAAAGGTCAAAAACAAAAAGTTTGTAAGTTAGTTAAATCACTATATGGTCTAAACAAGCACCAAAACAATGGCATAAAAAATTTACGAAAATAGTTGTGTCAAATATTTTAAAATTCATGAATCTGGTAAGTGTGTGTATAGTAGATTTTCTAATGAAAAAAGTGTGATAATATGTTTTTATGTAGATGACATGCTAATACTTGATACTTATGTGGATAGTATTAATAGTACTAAAAGTTTCTTGTCTGCAAACTTTGATATGAAAGATACTGGTGTTGCGGATGTTATCTTTGGAATTAGAATAATAAAACAAGATAACAATATGATATTTTCTCAGCCACATTAAACTGAGCAGATACTTAAGAAGTTTGATCATTTTGATTCCACAACTGTAAGCATGCCTTTTGAATCATAGATGAGGTTGTTTCAAAACAATGATAGAGCAGTATCACAATTACAATATGCTAGTATTATTGGGAGTTTAATGTATACCATAACATGCACTAGACCTGATATTGCATTTGTTGTTAGTAAACTTAATAGGTATACTAGTAATCCTAATCACTTGCATTGGCATGTTGTAAATAGAATATTAAAATCTTTAAAAAAAACTATGGATTATGGTATATGTTATAATGGATATCCAATTGTTCTAGAGGGATATTAGGATGTCAGTTGGATAACTGATCATGAAGATCATACATCAACAAGTTGATGGGTATTTACCCTTGGTGGGGATGCTGTCTCTTGGGGCTCCCAAGAAATAGACATGTATAACGGACTCTACTATGGCATCGAAATTTGTGGCATTAGCCACAAGTAGTAAAGAGGCCGAGTGGTTGAGGAATTTACTGTTAGAAATTCCAGTTTGGCCTAAACCAATGCCTCCTATATCTATACATTGTGATAATGAATCAACACTAGCACGAGCGTACATTAAATTGTATTGGGCGTATAGTAAATTGTATCGGGCGTACAATAAATTGTATAATGAAAAGTCTAGGCAAATTTTTTGATTTAATTAAAGACCATTAGGCTCAAGTGTGTGAATAGTGAAGCAAACTGTTTCTTTATCTTAGTAATTTTGGCTTGAACTTGTTTGGCTTTTTGTTTCCATGTATGTATCTCTCAACGACTCCTTGTCCTCTAATGTACTAATTTGTTTTAATTCCAATAATATTACATAGTTTCCAATCAAAAAAATATCTATCAAACACTAACATGTTAAAATGGCTCTTGTATTGATGTGTTCGAAACGCTAGGACACGGACACATCTTGAATTCATGTCAGGGACTTAATTATTGATTAAGAGTTTCTCTGTCAGAGTGTTTTGAAAAACGCGCCCAAGCGAGAAGCGAGGCAAGGCGAAGGTTTCTCGCCTGGAGGACTCTTGGCGAAGCGAACATGGCCGAAGCGAGCACAAAACGAACAAAGTGAGCGCCTGTCACTTAAGCGACAGGCGACAAGGTGAGCACCTTAAGCTTCCCAGACGTTTTTTTTTTATTTTGAATATGGGTCGTTGATTAGGCAATTGGAAAAAAAAAATTTAAGACATGGATACACCGAATTATTCTCTTACCCCATAAATACAACCCAAACCTAATTTTTTTTTTTGCAGATTGTCTTCACTGGAGCTCTGCTACACGATCGCTAGAGCTGGAGTGCTGGACTGGACCATCGCCGGAGCTAGAGAGCTGGACTGGACCATCACCGAAGCTAGAGAGCTAGACTGGACCATCATCGGAGCTGCTAGACCATCGTCGAAGCTGTTGAACCATCGCTGGACATAGGTAAGTCTCTTCTTCTTCTCCTCTCTTCTATTTCTGTTTTTTTTCTTCTTTCTTCTTTTATTTGCTACTCCTTCCTCACCGATACTGATTTTCTCTTCTTTTTTTTTTTTTTCTGATTCGAGCAATAAATCTCTTCTTCTTCTCCTCTCTTCTATTTTTGTTTTTTTCTTCTTTCTTCTTCTCTCTGCTACTCCTTCCTCACCGATTCTTTTTTTTTTTTCTAATTCGTCTTCAATTAGTAGTCTCTTTTATTGACGATCGCTAGTCTATTTTTTATTTTTTCTGTTGATTGCTGGTCTATTTTTTTTTTTTTTTTCCTGATAAGCAATGCTCTGAACAAAACACATTCTTTTTTTTTCTTATTGATATTGATGGAATTAAATGTTTAAGTTATGACTGTTATTAAGATTTGAGATATTAGTTTGTTTTAATTTAAATGTTTATGGTTGTATTTGCATTTAAATATTTAGTATATATAAAATTAGAACTTAGATTGTTTAGAAGTAATTAAAGTAAAAAAAAATATTTTTTTTAACTGTTCGCTTCGCTTTGGTAAAGCGTGTCGCTTCGCTTCTCTCCTAGGCATTAGGAGCCTTGATCGCTTTGATTCGTTTTACGCCTTAAATAACACTGCTCTGTTAGATTGTATCCTTGGCCCTCCTCCACTAGCTAGAGCTTAGTGATTTTCAACGGGGAGAACGGTTGGCGCAAGCATTAGTTGGTTGGACCAATATAATCCACTTTGGAAGCCTAGGCGAAGGACCTCGTATTTTTGGACAAAAGAGAAGTGTGATTGTTATTTTTATTCGGATATATATTAAATTATGATTAATATTTATTGTCTTATTTTGTAGGAAACAATTGTTCGACTAGGAGTATTTAGTAATTTTGACAGAAGAGTTAAGAAATTACCTATTTTGATAGAAGATTTTAATTAGGAAACTACCTATTTTGATAGGAGATTTGGCTTATAAACAGTGATGTAATCCTTACTATTTCACTAGAGTGAGTGGTATTAATAAAATTATTTCTCTTTGGCCAATTTTCGTGTTTCTTGGCATATAATTCTTGCAAGGGTTTGGTATGTCTTAATTTTTTTCTTCTCCTCCCCTTCCTTGTTCTGCATCAAAAGGCCATGGCCAATCAGCTTGAAGAGGAGACTCCTTTGTAGGAGGAAGACAGGAAGTGTATCGCACTTGTTCTGTTGTAGACCAAAGGTTTTAGAGACAAAGAGAATGAGAAGCGAGAGACAAGGAGTTACACAGGGCTTTTGGTAATTGTTCAGCCAGATTCTCACTTATCCAACTTATGTAAAATTTGCTAGTGCGTGGCCATACTCAGACCTTTCAGACTCTTTTTTTTTGTTCTTTGATGAATGGACTTTCTTCATTGAATTGCATTTATGCCACATTTAAGCTATTGGGCTTATATGTGAGGTCGCAAAGGATCTTTTTTTAATATGCCAAGTTTAGGCTGCTGGGCTTTAATGTGAGGCTTCAGACTTCTTTTGGATCTTTTGTTAATCTGCAAAATTTGAGCTGCTTGGCTTATATTTTACATATAATTCATGCAAAATTTACAAATGTGGTTGGGTCAAATTTGTGAAATCATGGTTTATATAATCTGTATTGGGCCACATTTGTGAACTTTTGATCATATTATTGACATATTTTGTGTCCCAAAAATGTCTGTGTCCTACTTTTTAAAAAATGTCATATCCACATGTCCATGTCATGTCTTATCCATGTTTTGTGTCCATCTCCGTGCATCTTTAATCAAAATATACTAGAACTCATCGCACACCATGCATCTGCAAGATGGGTAAGGATATTTTTTTTAACCATATACAAACCTCAAGGTTTTTATATATTATTGACACGTCAGGCATTCATGAAATTAGTTGAGGAGCACAAACTCAGGAGGCCTCTGTCATTAGTAAAACTCCCGGAGATCTCAGTGTAACCACAGCAATGTACAATCCAAATGTGAAAGGGTAATTTTTGTGGGTTATGTACCGTTATTTTGAGCAGTTAAGGATTATACAAAACATGGGTTACACCATGAAAAAAACTGCATACAGTACATATATCACCGCCTATACATCCACAACTATAAATAGGGATATCTGTAAACGCGCAGAAGTTCTCCAAAGGCTCTCTAGACCCTTGGTCAATAAAAATTGTTCATTTGCTCTCACATCTGTTTGATTCTACAACATTTTGTGTATCTATATATACGTATATATATAGGTTTCAATGCATTCGAAACCATCCCCGGAAAACCCCTCCTACAATCAATGGGATAAGTGTGACAATACTTTTGTGTATATCATCTCCAATTGATGTATGCAATTTTTGTATTATAAGCCGAGCAAGGGTGGGAAGTGTGTGGTTACTGTTACAAAGCCATGTGACAGTACCTTCCCCCCCCCCCCCCCCCCCAAATATAACCAGAAAGGTATAGTATCAAATGCAAACCCACCCCCATTTTTCCCTGTAGTATATGCAAACTCTTACACTTCTTTTAGTTGGGAGCATAGTCCAAGGGTTTCGCTAGTGCATACAAGAGTAGTACTTTCTACAAACATCAGCTAAGACAGTGCACAAGGTTTCGACTGTAACGGTACCTTTGCAGGAGACTGATTGAAATATAAACCATTCATTTGCTGTTTGTCAAACATGAACCCGGTTGGAGGCTTCTCTCTACCATTCCCATAGATTAGAAACTCAGATTCCTGCTTAAAAAGTTCAGCAGATGCAAGCTGCAAAAGAAATTTCTAGTAAGAACATGCAAATGTAGAAATTAAAGCAAAGAGAATAGTCAAAAAGAGATACACCTAAAGAGACAATTCTGAAGCAGAAGCTGCCTTGGCAGCCGAAACTCTTTCTTTGAGTCATAGGGCTCATGAACCGACTAGCATAGTGGATTCAGTCTGGAATAGAATGACATGGAATGAGTTGAACACTAAATCTAGGGTTTAGAGTGGAGATGAGGCAAGAGAAGACAGGAGAGAAAGAAAAGATTAGGAGTAGGGTTAAGGAGAATGAGAATTAATCAGCCCTCTCCTCTCATCACCCATATTTATATTAACTCAAAATAAAGTGAAGATTACAATAATACCATTAAGGGAAATAACCCTTAGATAGCAAAATCAAGAACTCTCAAAGGCATGCGAGTGAGTATTGCATCTCCTCAAAAGGAAAGAGGTACACCTATAGTAAATATCAAGGAGCGTGCCACTTTAAGGAGATGTCGATTCTTCCTCTGATATACCATTCAACTTAGGTGTATCCACATAACTAGATTGGTGAAGAATCTCATGTTACGTAAGGTAAGGCCTGTATTCTCCCTTAAAATATTCAGTCTCATTATTAGTCCTAAGAACCTTATCTTGGCATCAAACTGAGTATTAACCAATTTATGAAAGCTTCTTGAAATAGTAAACACTTCTTCCTTGCTATACAACAAATAAACCAAAGTAATCCGAGTGTAGCAATTAATAAAAATAACAAACCATCAATATCCAACAAGAGAAACAACACGAGAAGCTCCCCAAACATCAGAATGACCAATCATAAACGGAGCAGTTCTTCTATTATTATTACTAGGATAAGAAGTTCTTGTATGCTTGGCAAATTCACAAGCACCACCAAGAAAATTATCTTTATTACATTGTTTCATCAAAACTAGAAAAAATTTCTCTAATACTCCTACTGATGGATGACCAAGTCTTCGATGCCATTAATGTAATTATTAGAGGGCAGTAGAACCAAAAGCCTGAAGTGCCTAACAAGGTTGATTCTCTAGCAGATATAAACCACCATGAGTTCTATTACTGCAAATTATTATCTCCATTCCCAGTTCTTGAAAAGCACGATGAGATGAAAAGAATGTTAAGGAGCAATTTAGAGACTTTGTAATGCTACTGATCGAGAGTAATTTGGTGGAAAAATTAGGGACATGAAGATTTGAAGACAAAGACATGAAAAGAGAATAATGAATAGAACATTTTCCAAATACAGATGAAAATGCTACCCTAATTTTATCTCTAACCAACATGTGAAATAAGAGGAGAAAAGATAATCCAAGGATTAGGGGAACAAGATGTTTTAAAAGCATTGGCGTAGCAAAATTGAAGCAGATGCAAAAGAAGTATCAAGTCGCGCCATCAGATGCATGAGAATCTGCACCTCGTCTATAGTGACACTTGCACTATCAGTACCAGTAGATGGAGATGGACCACTAAGGAGAGGATCCGCAATCTCAGTTATATGTGCATGGGAGCGCCCAGGACCAGCCCTATTACCACCACACCCCCTCGAAGGATGATCATGTAGCTTCCAACGATGGTCTTTATTGTGCTTTGTCTTTCCACAGTAAACACACTTTAACATATCCTTCTCCATGCCCTCATTCTTACCATCCCCACGAGGCTAAAAGGATTTGTTCTCTCTTTATGGTACAGCTACTAGAGTAGAACTATGATAAGCATGAGTATAAAGCATGGAATTCCTCCTACTCCCCTCCAACTACACATAAGAATAAGCTTGCCTCAAGGAAATTAAAGGATCTCTACCTAAAACCTATATACAAATCTAATCATACTCCATATTAAAACCTACAAGAAAATCATATAATCGTTCGTTTTCTATCAACCTCGAAAACTTAGCACTATTTCTAACACAATCTGCTTAAAAATCCTAATAATAATCCAGCTATTGTCATAGACTACTCAATCATGTGTAGTACTCTTCGAGATTCATATCTTTCAGTTTGATTTCATGAATCTTCTTCCAAAGCTCATAAATATGAGCATCATTCCCAACCTATGAATATGTATAAGCCACTGCTAACCAAATCTCACAGGCTGTCTCAAGAAACAAAAAACCACGGCTAGTATTAGGTTGTATCGAGTTGAGTAACCATGTCATTACCAACGAGTCCTTAGAGATCCACCGACTAAGATCAGATTCAGATTTGGGTTTTTTACTTGCTCCAATCAAGAATCTATTTAGCCCACTTGCCCACAATCTAACAAGCACGATCAAGACCACGCTAAGTAGTTGCCTCCATCCAATTCTACTGAGCTATATGAAGAGAAGGGTTGCATCAAAGAGTCCCTATACGACTTGCCCCACCTTTCTCATTATTGGTAGATTCTCCAATAACTCCAAACATGACTTCTTTGCAATTTGGGGATTAACCCAACACAAAAAAAAAAAAACCAAAATAGCAGTTGAAGGGCAAACTATTTACTGTCCAGGACCAAAAGGAACCAACCGATGACTATCCATCACAAAGGAGGACCACTGGAAGTTAACCAATGAGCTGACAACTACCCACCACAAACAAACCACAGGGGTCACCGAAATCACCAATCGAGCACAAACAATTGACAAAACAGGCCCGTCAGAGTCCACAAGAGTTGCCGAAGTCCTCAAAAGGTCACTGAAGTCCTCTACTGGCCAACAAATTCCACAACCAAGCACTGGGATCACATACAACTCAACTACAGCCTCAAACATAGGGGGAGGAGGCCACCATGTCATCCAACAGAAAAGGGCCTGCTGATGTCCACTAGGTTGTGCACAGAACTTCCCCTAAGTTCCTATTCAAGCCAGCACCCACAGGTTTTATTAGAGCAAGTATAACAATCTCAATCTCAGCCAAACAATAGATTGAAAAATATGACCCAAAAATTCTAAAAAAATTTCAAAAATTGGAAAAGTACCTTAGCTGGCTTCAAAAAAATTCAGAAAAATCAACATCATACTCAAGAGGAAAAACCGAGCCATACCATGTCGGTTTCGATCAACTCCAGTGATGATGTCATCATTCCAACAATGACATCATCATTCTGATGATAATGTCAACTTCCCAGTAGATTCCCAAAGCCTCCCCGAGTGTTTTAGTGACTTCAAAGTTTACGTAAATTGTTCCGATACCAAGTTGAAATCTAAATCTAGGGTTTAGAATGGAGAAGAGAAAAGATGAGGAAATAGGGTTAAGGAGAATGAGAGTTAATCGCCTCTCACTCTCATCACCTATATTTATATTAACTCATAATAAAGTGAAGATTACAGTAATACCCTCAAGTGAAATAACCTAATATTCCACGGAACACTTATATTGATTTTCAAAAAATAAATAAATTTGGGTAAAGATAATCCATGTTTGCTAAATATTAAGGGATTGAAGCATATCTTGTTCACAAAAGACAATGGACACAATTCTTGACAGTTTACTGCGCTCAGTATTAGCCACGGTCATGGATTTTCTACTAAGGTAAGTGCTCAGGATGATTTTAGACTGTGGTATGCATAGTCAAATATTGAAACTCTACCTCTTCAGCAAATACATCAAAAGGCCTCTGCCCATCAGATACCATTGTAGCACACAGGAATACTGCTTTGGAGATCTTCCATGAGAAATGCTCCAAAGCATAAGAAATGCAAGCCCCTCCACTGCTGTGACCAACTAGAATTACCTATACAAGTACATACTTCATTACACAATTCAATAGAAAATGGCAGGAGAAATCTTGCTGCAATGAATGAACAAGATGAAGCCAATCCCAAGATAATCCCCTACCTTTTCATCCTCTGGTAGGTTTTGCAAATAATCAATCAAAGGTTTTGAATAGTCTGCTAGAGTAGTGACCCTGTTTGTATCAGTCAACTCAATGCCAGATGCCATGAGATCTAAGGCAATGGGAAGTAATCCTGATTCTTTCAATAGAGCTATACTTTTGTACCAACACCATGCTCCAAATCCTTCTCCATGTATCAGAACGAATTTCTTTGTTTTGATATTCTCCGAAAATTCTGGAAACTGTATAGGATATATTTTATGCCAACACAAAAATCTGTACATGAATATTATGCAAATACTGGTGAAAGCAAAAAGTATCTTGATGATATGCTACATTGCAAATTTGCAATCATTGTGTTTCCACAACAATACAAAGCTCAAATATAGGGGGAAAACTATAATTAAAGTGAAACATTAAAATATTTTGAGTGGTAATGATAGTTGGTACAGACAATTTACTGCAAAATCCCAACAAGTATGTATCTGTGTAGAACTTGACAACATTATATGAATTTCGTTCCCTTTAAAGCCCTGGGCTTGAAACAACCAGCATGCAAGAAGAAAACCATTTAAAACAATTGCATTCTGCATCCATTTTCGAAGACAACGCAGAATGAATTATATGTGCAAAGGTGGCTTCTTGATTTTTGCGCCACTTATACTTGAACCAAACCCAAACATTTGTAGTAATTATCAGTACTTCAAATAATTCTTTCTTTTTCCTTTTTCCCCTTTACTTCTTAAGGTTACAATGAGGAAACTGTTAATTTATCCTCATGGTCACATTTTGTATTTACTTTCAATGTTTGATAGGACAGCAAAGTTTCAATAAATAATTAAAAGAATACAAATGGGAGAAACTCTTTTGAAGAAAGAAACAGAGATTATGCAAAAGTCGAACCTCCACCAGATCTTTGGGAGTGAGCCTCTTGTGGCCACCTGAGCTAGGCCCATGGTGGAAAGAGGAAGGGTAACTAAAACAAGCACTACATGCCAAAGAGATATATTGTGTATGACAATGTTGCTAATCCTCCCCTTTGCTAAGTAATCTGCACCCAACTTACTATAGAATGAGCTTATTGTATTTTTGTCTCTCGCAGAACAAATTTCTCTAAGCAGATATTAGTGTAACCAAAGCCGAGCAAGAACTACTATATAGCTTGGTAGAGGAGCAAATTTCAATCAATATAGATCTCAAATCCCTAATCCAGAGCCTCTTCACCCTACTGGCCTTTGGTCAACTAAGTTACAAGACAGTTGCCTATGGATTAGCCACACGATTCTTACTTCCACTAGCAAATGAAGCATAAAGTCATAGTTATATATATGCACATATATATATAACACTAACTAGTGACTTGAATTCTACAAATATGGCGCTGAGATAGCATGCTGGATGGCGCCGAGATAGCATGCCTGCGGGCGCCAAATACACGCCAAAAGGAAACCGATGCATGCCACAAACAAGGGCCTTCTCTGCATCAAAAAGAGAAACAAGAAGGGGATTGCAAAGCTCCTGCTGTTTGACTTTATTATCATTGCCTTGAAAATTAATAAATTCCATAAAACAGATCATGGATATAAATAAACAATGTTTTCTATCTGTTTTTAATACTTTGACCTTATTTTAGTAAGTGAAATTATTGGGTTTGGGACTGTGGATTTAAGAGCTCAGATTTAGGGATGATAAATCTAAGTGGTTAACCTAAATAAATAAGTCAAAATTTTGTCAATAGCACTGAAATATATCAAATCAAACCTCATTGCCATAAGCAGAATTCTGGCTAAACCATCCAAATCTCGTGTGTCTTTGTATATGCATTATTTGTTTCTTGTCAGTTTGCTATCTACCTTGATACTCAGGGGATAGACCACAACAAATTGGAATCAAAGCTCATTTGGTAAAATTGAAAAAAATATTTAGGTTACTGTCCATATTGCTATGGCACATTCCATATTGAAAAAAATATTCACCAATGTCGGATATCTGATTTTTACATAACTGATTATTGTGATTTGAGATGTTACAATGGTTGTAAACTTCAAGATAGAAAAGTTCAATGGAATGAATGACTTCAGCATGTGGCATTTAGAGTTGTTGTCTTGTTGGCTCAACAAGGATTACCTAAATCCCTAAATGGGTAGAGAATCTACTATCTACAATTTTAGATCATGAGAAGGCCAACAAACAAGAAAAGGTGCACAATACGTGTAACATCCCGCGAAAGACCCCGATGCAAGTTATGCCCTAATCCAAGACAAATCCGATGTTTAAAGTTAGACTCGGGAGGATTAAGAATATATAATGTAAGTTCGTCAAAAAATGTGGAATAAAAGAGTTGGTTTGAGTTAGATTGTGAGGTCGTTGGGGTTAGGAAATGAGAAGAAGAGATGAAGAGAAAAGAATATGGAAGAGTAGTGTGTTAGTCTGTTGGAGTTACAAAGCTACATCCCAATATATATATAACCTCAAAGTACCAAAAATACCCTTAAGGGTTACATCCTATAAAACATAACATAACACTCCCTCTCAAGTTGGTGCATAAATATCTCTCATGCCCAACTTGCAAATGATACAATAACTACTAAACCTCTTTATGAAAACATCAGCCAAATGATTTTATGATCTCATAAAGGACATGCAAATCAAACCCTTGTTCAGTTGTTCTTTGATGAAGTGTCGATCAATGTCAACATGTTAATTCCATCATGTTGAATTGGATTGTGTGCAATGTTGATAGCCGTCTTATTATCACAGCAAAGTCTCATAGGCCCATCACCACTTTTGAGCTCGCTCAGTAGGATTTGAAGCCGCAAAAGCTCACAAGTCATTGCTTTGTATTCAACCTCTACACTAGACCTGACTACCACTGCTTGCCTTCTACTTCACCATGTGACAATATTTCTTCCAATCAAGTTGTATTAGCCTGAAATAGATTGTCTGTCATCTACTGAACATGTCCCGTCCGCATCAATGAATGTTTCGAGCTTCGAGTAAACATTATAAGATAACAAGATCCCTTTTCCTAGGACTGACTTGAGATTCCTCCAAATAGGGTGGGCTACTTCAAGATGAAGGCCTCGAAGATCATGCATGAATTGATTTACAACCCTCACTATATAAGCAATATTCAGCTGAGTGTGAGAGAGAGATATCAATCTTGCTACTAATCTTGGGTATCTCTCTTTATCTAAAACATCACCAACCCCACTCACCGGCCGATGGTTGACTTCAATAGGAGTATCTATAGGTCTACATCTCAATATACTAGAAAGACTCAATATGAGACTTAAACTATAGGACACGGGAAAGTAGACGATTAATAAGATAAGTAGCTGTTAGAACTAGATCTCCCCAAAAATGTGGGGGAACATACATAGTAAACATCAATGAATGAGCAGCCTCAATAAGATGACAGTTTTTTTTGCTCAAAAATACCATTTTGTTTAGGGATACTCACATAAGTAGTTTGATAAAGGATACTACTTTTATTGAGGTAAGAGCAAAATTGTACATCAATATACTCAGTTTTATTGTCACTACAAAAGACTTTGATTTTGGCATCAAATTGGATACCAACTATTTCCTTAAAAGAGCATAAACAAGACAAACTTCACTTTTAGTGTGTAGTTAAACGAGAATAACAATCAATAAAAGTGACAAACCAATGATAACTCAATAGATGCAACATGAGAAGGTCCCCACACATTAGAATGAATGATAACAAAAGGAACGATGCTTTTATTATTAGTACTAGGATAAGACGAGCAGTTATGCTTGGCAAATTCACAAGTATCACAAATAAAAAATTGTCAACTACATTGCTTTACTAGACTAGGAAAAATATGTTCTAAAACACCAGATGAGAGATATCCCAAATGTCTATACCACTAACATAAGATATGAAGTGCCAAAACACAATCTTTCGAGAGAGCTTGACAACGAGACTCTGGGGAAGCTTCATCATCCAGGAGATACAAACCACCATGTGCTCTACCACAGCCAATTATTTTTTTTGATTTCAATTCATGAAAAATACAATGAGTAGGAATAAATGTCACTAAACAATTCAAGAATTTGGTAATACTACTAACATACAACAAGTTAGTGGAGAAATTAGGAACATAGAAAATAGAGAAGAAGGATACGGTGGATGAGCAATTAATTGAACCTTTCACAGAAATTGAGGATAAGGATCCATCTGCCACCTTGCCTTTATCCCTACCTGAGCATGTAGAGGATCAAGAGAAAATACTAGAAAAATCTGTCATGTGGTATATGGCTCTAGAATCTATTATCCAAGGAGTTGATGAGGATGATACAATAAACACACTACATATAACTGTATGAGCAAAGTTGGAGAAAGAGGCATAATTAGGAGTTGTGATAGAGGCATCAAGTCGAAACATCATACACCAAAGAGCCTACATCTCATCTTGAGAAAAAGGTAGAAGGGGTGTTGCTACAAGACTGAGGTGGAGTCGAGGATCAAAATTTCGTTTCGGTGCATTGTTTCGGTCACCTAAGAAACAGAAACGTTTTGATCCGTTTCGGAAATAGAATAGAAGGGCCTTAAGATTGTCGATTGCAAACAAGATTTGCAAAAGAAAGGAAAGAACTCCAAGAGTGGAAGATGCAAACTCAAAGCGTGTTTGGTGACCAAAGGTTATAAACAGATGAAGGAAGTTGACTCCAATGTAGTGTGCTCTCTCGTAGTAAAGGAAAATAGTTTTTCCTCGTACCGAATTGGAGGAGATATGCATGCATCGACTAGAGGAATTTGTACTCTGACAAAAGGAGGACCATGATTGCTTGTTCAAGCAATCACCAGGGCAGTGGTACAAGTAGTCTGACACTTTCACGACTACAAATTGTTATTTCTACCAAAGTAAATTTAGAATCATTTTTTTAAAATTAAACAAGTGAATATTTTTAGTACCTAAGATAAAGAAGAAAGGGTACATGAGCAAACAAGAAATCCTCTATATGAAAAATTAGTGGAAAAGAAATGAAAAGATTACAAGCACAAAAATAAAAAGAATAACAAGATAATAAGCTCCAAGTCTCAACGACCATCACACAATTCGGCCCAATGATCCTAAATAAAAAATAATGGAATTCCATCAAAACCTTTAACCGTGGAAGCCCAAAGAGATGTCATGAAGGTAATTTTATCCCACAAGTCTTCCCATGTATTCTTTCCACCATTGAAGATCCTTCCATTTCTTTACAACCAAACCATAACAAAGCTAATACCGCACAACTCCATAAAATATTGCCT